ACCTCCATATACCTAGGCTCCTGAAATTTCATATGTACATGGCTGTTGCTCCAAAGATCACTCAAAAGATTGTGTGAGTAGCTCAGAAGTTTCTAGCTTTAACGTGCCTGCATCAGCCTCTCAAACAGGTGCTGGCATTAAGCCAAATTGCCATTCTAGCCCCCTTTCATCAGTTTAGGCTGTGCCTTGATGTCTCTCTGCTGGCATTGCTTAGAACCAAGGCACCAAAATTATCAAATAATGTGAATCTTCAAGAGAGATGGAATCTGGGTATCATTGGATGAATTTTATTCATTTGGGGCCATCAGTCCCTAGTTAATATTTCTCTACCCTCTTCCAAAGTCAGCTACATACAAGGGATGTGACCAACCTTCACCAGGAAACTGCTCTGATTTGCTTCATTCCTCCAAGACACTGAGCCATCACTTGCTTTAACATTTCATAACCAAAGAGCCAACTAAGACATTTTGGCCCCCATGGTCCTTTGCTGTACCATCCTAGACACTGGCTTCAGCAGATACCTCTTTGAAAGGTCAGTTTCTCTCTCTGATGAAATAATTAAATCTTAGCCTTGTTTGGGCCCTTTTACCCAAGTATTGGTGGTGTGAATTTGTTATTATTCAGCATGTGTAAGCACCAAATACATGTAGAGCACTGTGCTAAGAGCCAGAGGTAGAAACGAGATGCAGGCTCTCCTAAAAGAAGAGGGCAGAGGCTATACATGTTGCAACATCAATCCCAGGGCTCCTGCCCCCAAAATGATAGGCAGAGAATGGGAAGGGAAATGGGGAAGAGCCAGAATAGATAAGAGAGAAGAGCTAATCATCAGGAATCTAAAGACTGTCTGCTAGTAAAAGCAGAACAGCCTGACATTAAGTCTATTTATGGACAGCCCCAACAGGGAAATCTTATTAGCCAAAGCTATCAAAATAGACCCACTTACTAAATATGTAGTCAAACTTTTCACTCCCACTCAACTCCATATAGAAGTACCCTAAATAAAAATTTTTAGCACATCCCTTTGAAAGACATGATGACATTCCTATTTGAAGAGCAAAATAATTGGGGTGCAGATGGTAAGCAATTTGCCCACTATTACAGGTCAAGGCCATGAAAACACTAGAAACAGGTTCTTGAAAGCTTGCTGGAAACTGCTTTAGATTCCACAAATGTCTGGCCCTGCAGCGGGCATTGCACTTGTCTATTACTGAATAAGTCACTTAATTAACGACCATGTATTTGCTTATGATTCTGGAAGCTGGACTCACCTGGGCAATTCTTCTGCTGGTGACACTTAGGAGCTTGTTGCTGTCTCGTGCATTGGCTGGAGCAGGATGCTCTAAGATGACCCCACTTACAGGACCAGGCCCTGGTGCTAGCTGTTAGCTGTTCCTCTCAGCTGAGGTTGTTCCAGTAACCTGGAGCTGTCTTCATTGGGTGCAGGAACAGGCTGAGAGGCCCAAGTTGGGACCTCTAAAGCCCCTCTCTACTTGAGCACTCTGAGAGGGAAAGACCATGTAAAACAACCATCTTTAAACCAGATGGATGCCCAGACTAGGACCCTGCCAGAACCTTACCTTGGACTTTCTGGCCTCCAGAATTCTAAGTTAATTTTTTTGTGCTTTAAGCCACTGAATCTGTGATACTCTGTTATGGTAGCCTGAGAAACCTGATAGTTTGTTTATAATTTGGGATTATAAAGCTGCTATAAACATTTGTATACATGTCTGTGTAGCAGTATGCTTTCATTTCTCTTAGGTGACTAGAAAGTGGAAGAGCTGGGTTATATGCATGTGCATGGTTACTTCTTCAATGGTCAAAACTGTTTTCCAAAGTAGCTGTTACCACTTTGCACTCCCAACAGTGGTGAGTGAGGCTTCCGGTTGCTTCACACCTTTGCCAACACCTGGCATGATCCATCTTTTTCATTGTAACCCTTCTGCTGCATGTACAGTGGTAGCTTATCATAGGTTTAATTTGAATTTCCCCAATAGTAAGTGATGTTGGGCTATCTTTTCTTTTTTTTTTAAATTAGGTCGTATTTGCAATACATAATGATTACATTTGTTGTGAGGAGTTGGTATGCGTACATACTAAATCTTGATTCTCTTCTTTTTTTCATTCCCTGCCACTCTCCCCTCTGCTCCTTTCAAATCTTGGTCCCCTTTTCATTTGCAAAAGCTCTATTTTCATCATTTCTTATATCCCTTTTCTCTCCTTGCCCTCCTCCCTCCCTCCCTCCCTCCACTCCCTCCATTTTTGTTCATTCCCCATCCATTTGAAAAAGATCTCCCTATTTTCTCTTTATCTACCTCTAGAAACCATGTGATATTTAAGCTTGTGTGTCTAATTTATTTCACTTAATATCATGCTCTCAAGTTTCATCCATTTACCTATGAAGCCTCAAGTTTATCTTCCTTTATGGCAATTAGTACTCCATTGTGTATAATAAATACCACATTTTCTTTATCCATTCATCTGTTGATGGGCATAAAGGCCATTCCTAAGATTTAGCTATAAATTGTGCTGCTTTGGGTGTGTGTATCCCTGTAATATGATGACTGTAACTTTTTCAAAAAGATATCTAGAAAAGGAATAGCTAGGTCAAATGCAATTTCTAGTTTTAGTTTTTGAGGTAGCTTCACACTGGTTTCTATAGTGATTGTACTAGTTTATATTTCCACCAACAATGTTGAAGAGTTCCTTTTTTCCCCACATCCTCACCAGCATTTTTTTGTTTGTTTGTTTGTTTGTTTGTTCGTTAGGTTTTTTTTTTAAATTTCTTGATGATGGCCATTCTTTCTGGAGTAAGATGGTATCTCAATGTTGTTTTAATTTGCATTTCTGAAGTGGTAGTGATATGGGACATTTGTTCAGGTATTTATTGGCCATTTGTATTTGTTTTTCTGGGAGTATCTATTCATTCTGGTGGCCCATTTTGTAATTAGGTCTTTTGTTTTGGGAAGTCTTTTTTTTTTAGTTCTTTATATATTCTAGATCAGTGATAGTGAAACTTTTAAAGACTAAGTTCCCAAACTGCAGCAGAAAACCCACTTATTTATCAAAAGTGCACACACTACAATTAAACCTGAATGCTCAGATGCTGGGGCAACACTGGGGTGATTTGGCTTGTGTGCTGACAGAGGGGCTGGCTCTGTGTGCCCACTGCAGCATGTGCCATAGGCTCACTGCCACTGTTCTGTTAGTCCTCTGAGAAATAGCTCGCAAAAAATTTTTCCCATTGTGTATGTTGTCTCTGTACTCTTTTGGTTGTTTCCTTTGCTGTGTAGAGCTTTTTAATTTGATATGATCCCATTTGTTGATTCTTGGTATTATTTCTTGTGCCATCTGGTTTCTGTTCAGAAAATCCTAGCATACACGTATGTTTTCAAGAGTGTTACCTACTTTATCTTCTAGCAGATTACATCTTTTCCTATATTTACTTGCCAACTTGGTATCCTCTTTAGTGAAGTATCTGTTCAAATCTTTTATCCTTTATTATTCACTGAAAGCTAATTAGATACAAATTTGAATAAATTTAAGCAAGAAAATTAGATCTGAAATCTTACTGTTGTCCAGTTGGGCAGGCTTGGAAGGAAAAACCAGAGCATCCAGAAAGAATCTGTGGGCAATGAAAAATAGAGCGAGTTGTGACAACTGAAAGAACATGGTGGGCATGATAATAAGTCCTGAAAGCTTCCCAGTTTTGTCCAACTTTAACCTTGAGACCTCCGTATTAGTTTTCTCACCATTAGCACCAAATTCCAGTTCCCAGATTCTCTAAGAGCCTCATTTTCGTGACACTTCTGTGGAAGTTTCCTGGTTCAAGAGAGCACCTCTAGTGTCACTACTGCCTATGTTTGCCAGGTTTGTAGGAAAATACAGAGACTCCCATGAGAAGTGCCTAGATAAGATTTGGCCCAGAGTCTTGTCTGGGGACAGAGTTGAGCACCAAGTTGTGTCTAAAACATATTCCTGTAAAGTAGGGACCTTGGAAGGGAGGTATAATGAGGAAGGACGGGGGAGAGCTAGGAGCAAGGACGTGTGATAAGAAAGAGTGTTTTTATCAAGGACACAGTGTACAGCCATGGATCACTCCATGCTGGAAGGAGATAAGTGGGAGAGAGTCCAGATGAGCAGAATAAATGATTAAGGAACGGGGAAGCTGATTTATGAGGCTGATTTAATAGAGTTCACTGAAGCTCATTCATTTAACAAAATGTAACTGAAGCTAATTTTCCTTTAGAGCCTGAAAGGCAATGGAAATGCACACATCAAAGATTAGAAAAATAGCAAATCTAAAAATCAGCAAGCCCAGTAAGTAAAATGAACATGTCTTCATTAAGCATTTTTATCTAAACTTCTGTGTGTGTGTGTGTGTGTGTGTGTGTGTGTGCGTGTGTGTATGCTGTGACAATCCACATGTTGACATTTTCTCATTCTTTTCTATGTTTTTCCTCATTCCTTCCTTTTTTCCTTTTAGGTCCAATGAATGCTATCAGTAAGACGTAAGACCCCAGATCTCAGAACTGTTTTGTTTTTTTTTTGGTACTGGGGATCAAACTCCAGTCCTTGCGCTTGCGAGGCAGGTGCCGGAACAACTGAGCTAAATCCCCAGCCCCCAGAACTCTTATTTCCTCACCTTTTAGGGGAATCTTCCCGGCAAGGTTTGTTCATGAGTTTACCCATCTAGGGCATGTCCATATTCCTTGGGTTCCGCCCAGCTGCCAGACTGAGGCCCTTCCCAATATTCCTAACTGCTCTTTGAATTAGACCTTTTTTCAAGCCAGGAGCTCAGAAAAGATGATAAATGAACCTCATTCCACCGTCTTAACACAATCACCCAGAGCATGTTGGAACCTATGCATTGGAACCATTCAGGTCAAAACATGTTGTCTCAGTACATATATTAGAGATAGCAGTTTTGTGACCATTAATTCCATGTGTCAACCTAGCTAGGCCATGGTGCTAAGATGTCATTATCCTGGATGTTTCTGCAGGGGTATCTTTGGATGAGATTTACTTTGAAGTTGGTGGACTTTGAGTAAAGCAGATCTCTCTTCACAATATGTTGAGCCTGATCAAAACCACTAATGCTCTGACTGGAACAAAAGGCTGCCCCCTCCCAAGCAAGAGGGAATTCTCCAGCTGATTGCCTTTGAATTTCATCTGCAACATCATCTCTTCCTGGTTCTATAGAAGACTGCTTTTGGACTCAGAACTGCTGACCTTTCCTACAACTCCAGCCTGCTGTTCTCTCCATTAAAGTTTAGAATCACCCAGCCTCCATGAGGTAAGATAAGGCAATTCCTTAAAATAAATCTCTTTGTACATACACACACATCCATCCTATTGGTTCTGTTTCTCTGGTGAACTTTAATACAAATTTATACATCATCAAATATCACTAGTAATGCAGGTAAGCATTGACAATAGTGAAAATATGGTCATGAGTTTCCTCAGCTAAGAATCTAGAATTGAGAGGTTTTTAATTGCTAAAATTATGATATGCTCAGGTAAAAGTTTTTGCAAGCAAATGAATGTTGGGAACTAGACTACTTAACTCAGATCTCACCATCTTGAAGGCAGTGTTTTCTTGCCTCAGAAACAGGTCAGTATGTGGAAGACCACACGCCCCCGGCTATGGGCCAAATGTCAATAACCTGGCACTCCTGAGGCAGGACAGCATTTGTTGAGAACAGTTGTATACAGGCATTTGAGTGTAGAGAAAATCTGGTTCCTCATTTACTTAATCCTTATCCATCCATTCTCTATAGTTGCTATTCCAAAATGCATGCTACCCCTCCCCCTGTGCTTCTCACTGGTTAAGAAAAGCGGGCCAACCTCAGTTTTATTCAAGTCTGTCTGCTAGAGGAAGGTCTCCTCCCAGTCCCCACTTTATTTATTGAAAATTGTCTCTGTCTCTTTTTATTCCTCATTGTTCCCCCCAAAGGGTAACTGAGAGTCTGATCAGCCCTTCGTAAATGAAGCAATAGTTTTTGGAGGTATTTTCAGTAACACAAAAGGCCATTAGTAACATAAAAGGCCATTAGTAACATGTTTCAGCTGTCTATGTAGTCTATGCGCTATTTAATTTTAAATAAAAAATTAAAATGTGTCTTACATCAGCATAATTATTAGAGGTGGGCTCTTTCTATTTGGTCCCCTCTCTCACAACTAAAAACTATGCCAACAGGTCCTTTTTTTTTTAATAGGTCTTCATTTTTAAAAAGAGAATCTAAGGGCTAGGGATTTAGCTTAGCGGTGCTGCTACCTGCCTCGCAAGCACAAGGTCCTGAGTTTGATCTCCAGTACCCAAATAAATAAATAAATGAATAAAAATAAAAAGGGGATCTCACAAATCTGTAAGTTGGTACCAATTCCACATGGATATACCAACTTTAGTAAAAGGAAATTTTATAAGATAACAAAGTAAACTTCATCATCAAAATGCTTTATTAAATGTTCTTTTCCAGGTGTTATAAAAAGACCTTCTTTACTACCTTATAAAGCCAGCTAACACGGAGTAATAGCTAATAATTATCATTTATTGAGGATCTATAACACATTGTTTTAAATGCATTATATGCATAAATCTGTTATCCTCACAAGTTTGTTAGGTAGTGTTACGCAATAAAGAATTTGTCTGGTCTTGTCCTTCCAGGAAGAGAAACTAAGTTCTCAGACTTTCCTAAGTAATTGGAGTGTCCTGGATATTCGGGGCGGGGGGAGAAGGAGGGGTTCAGGCTACACCTGAGTTTCTGCTAATGACATAATATAGGAGGAAGTTTCATACTAGAAAGGTCATGTACCATGAGAGTTGGGGTTTTAAGCCCTGTAATATTACTTGACCTGGGAATGAAATGGCTAGGGAGGAGTGCTGGAAATTTAGTTTAATTACATGAGCCATGATTTGATCAATCATGGTTATGCAGGGAAACACCAATAAAAACTCTACAGCAAAGCTCAGTTGAACTTTCTGATTGATAATAAACACTGCTATGGTCCAGATGTTCCTATCTTCCCCAAATTCCTATAATGCAGATGTAATTCTCAATATAACAGTAATTGGAGGTGGGAGGTCTTTGGTGCTAGAAAGTGTGGCTGGCCGGGATTAGTGTTCTTGGAAGAAGAGGCTCAAGACAGATTTCGTATTTTGACGTTATGCTACACCAAGAAGGTATCTTTTCAAACTAGTAACTTACTTTTGTTTAACTTCCAGCCTCCAGAACTATAAAAAATAAATTTCTGTTGTTTAATTCATCCCCGTATACAGTACAGTAGTGCCCGAGTTTCTGAGCGCTATTGTTGGTAAACAATTTGGTACACAGAAGGATTTGTTGGCGGAATTTTGTTTTTGTTTAAAAACTGCATCAGGTGAAAAATGACTGCAGCCATCTTTCCCACACAAACACAGACATGGCCATCTTCTCCAAAATTGCAGAGCAGATTAAGTTCGTGAACCAAGGTACCGCTGTATTTTGTTATAGCAGCCTGAACTGATTCAGACACACACTGATATGCTGAGAGGATGATGTGCTCAAGGACATGGAAATTGCATTTTGGATCCTCCCAGACCTGGCCTGTGTATACCTTCATTTGGCTAGTCCAGATTTGTGTCCTGTATAAAAGCTGTGGTCATTAATATATGCTCGCCTGAGTCCTGTGACTTATTCTAGTGAACCACCACACTTCAAGGTGAGGGAGAGGTGGGTTAGAACCCCTGAACATGTAGCCAGGTGGTCAGAAGTGCAGGTGGTCTGGAAGCCCCAGGGCTTGAGTGAGTGTCTGAAGTGAGGATAATCTTGGGGAAGACTATGTCTTTAACCTGTGATATTTGTCCCAACTCCGTGTGGTGAATTTCAGAATTGCACTATAGGTGGAGATCGTTATTATCATTTAACAGTCAGAGAAAACAATGCTTGAAGCAGTGCAGTAATATTTCCAAAGACATACAGCTCATAACCAGTAACACCAGGTTTCAAATCAGATTTATCTAATTCTAAAACCCACTCTCTCTCTATCATTCTGAGTTGAGATACGATTTCTAGGTTTGTCTACTAGATTTGCTATCAGATTCTCTGTCTCTTAGGATAAAAATTATTAACTCTACAATGATTTGTCGCATAAAGATATGCTTCTTTATTAGTAGACTGGTGGTAAAAGTCAGAGCTGGCTTTGGCTGGAGGAGAAGAATACTCCTATAGTCACTTCCACAAGATTGTCCTGGAATGGGACTCAAGACCTCAGACTCACAAATTTTAAAAAATTGGCTTACCGATTTTTTTAAAAAAGACAAGAGATTTGGACGGAAACTTCATCAACAAAAATATGCAGATGATAAGTACATAGAAAGATATTCAACATCATTAGTCATTAGTGAAATACTAATTAAAAGTACTATGAGATTTGGGTGTGGGGCACATTCCTGTCATCTCTCAACACTATGGGAAGCTGAGGTAGAAGGACCACAAGTTCAAGCCCAGTCTGGGCCACTTAGCAACTTAGTGAGATCCAGTCTGAGAATAAAAAGTAGAAAAGGGCTGCAGATGTCATTCAGTGCATAGACCCTGGGTTCAGTCCTAGGGTCTGAAAAAAAACTAGTGAATAAAATAATCCAATATCGAGAAGTAATAAGGGGGCTGGGGATTTAGCCCAGTTGTTCCGCCGCCTGCCTCTCAAGTGCAAGGTCCTGAGTTTGATCCCTGGTGCCACGAAAAACAAAACAAAACAAAAAGAAACAAGGATGTAGATTATCTAGAGTTATCATATATTACAGATGACTGTAAAATAATAAAGATACTGTGGAAAACAGTTTTAACTTTCTTTTTCTTTTTTGCTATTTCTTATGAAGTTGGACATATGCTCGCTGCATGATCCAGCAATCCATTCCTAGATATCTACCCAGGTTTAATGAAAATTTTTAATACAAAAATATGTACATAGCTGTTTATAGTGATTTTATTCACAATCACCAAATACAGGAAGCAACTCAAAGTCCCTTAACCAATGGATAAATAAACAAACTATGTATGGTACCCTCATAAAATGTAAAACTTCTCAGCAATAAAAAAGAATAAACTTTTACCAATGATCATAGCAGCATTATTCGCAGTAACCAAAAGGTAGAAGCATTCCCATTGTCCAGCACTGGATGAAAGTGTTACTGGCACTGTGGGGTCATGTCCCATGGTTTCAAAGGATGAAACCACAGGTTGGAGGAGATAGAGTACAAGCAAGTTTGTTTAAAAGATATAAAGACAAGCAAGTAAAAAATATGAAAGCAAGGAAGTAAAGGTGCTATCCGGATGGAGGTTCTGAGTAGTATACCTACAAGGGCTTTGTCTAGGGGGTCTTAGGGGATTTGGAAGGGAGCTTGGGCATTCTGTAAGCAATATAATCTCTACCCTGTATAAGACTACATGTTTTTGGGAGTCCAGTCTATATAGTATTCATGCGTTGTCTGCACAGTACCCACGTGCCCTTGAGCAAAAGGCCTGCCTTGCCTGATCATGCTCCAGGAGGCCCCAGATAGATGAAGGACATCTATCAGGTATTTTTGTAAGATCCCTGGAGTGTCATGACTCAGTTGACTACATTCTGGGCTTCCTGACTCTAATTTGGGGCAGCAGTCCTTACTGCCTAATAGAATCTTAGCTCTTATTGCACTAATTCCTATTACAAATGGACTTACAAAATGTGGTATATACACTCAGTGGAATATCATTCAGCCTAAAAAAGGGATGAACTCTGATACATATGGCAGTATGTATAAACTTTAAAAATATTATGCTAAGTGAAATCTGTAAGTCAGACACCAAAGGACAAGTATTGCACGACTCCACTTAAAGTGTCACCAGATGGGGGCCAAAGAAGAGATGGAGACCTCAACTCACCACCATCCACAGAGTAGTTTCTTGGCTTGTAGAAAAGCATTTTGGGGCTCACCAGTGAGAGGCACTGGCAGACTTATTAAACAAAACCAAAGTACACACTCAGAAAAATGTGTAGGCACTCAAGGGTGCACTGTGATCTGGGTCTGAGGGTATTAATGTGCTCTTGGGGTAGGAATTAGAATTTGTGAATCTATAGTACCAAAAGAAAAGCTCAGGCCCAATTTATAGGTGAAAGACATGGGCTTAATATTGGAGTAAAAAGTAGAAGCCCAATTTTCAGGCTTATTTTATCTTTCAAGAATCTTAAAGATTTTCTAATGGGTTTCCTGGAAGGAGGGGGAAAAAGGGCATTGTAACTTTGGGTAATTTTGTGACCTGAATCTGCAGTTTTCTTAAAAGAACAACTTTGAAATTACAATTTTCCTGGTCTCTTTTAT